CACACACACACACACACACACACACACACACACACACACACACACACGCTACAATAAGAAATTCATGACACAAATTCACCGATGCATAAAGAGAAAGAGGGAGAAAAAGATAGACATGAACTGCATGAATGCAGAGGTCCTTCACAACTCAGTGGGCACGCCGTCGCTCCAGGAAGTAGAAGAGTCTGTGTTGGAGTGGGCATTCGTTTGTGTGTGGGGTGTGTGAATGTCTGTAACTACACTGAATTTAGTGCTTCTTCTGTGAGGCCGCTTGGTCTATAGTTCAATCTCTGGTTGACATGTAACAAGCACATAACAGCTCTTCCAGGGCCAAGACAAGACCCCTGGAATAGCTCACACACTCTCTCAAACACACACACACACACACACACACACACACACACACACACACGCTACAGCCTCTGTGGGACGGAGCTAGCCTATTTTCTACTGTAATATTAAGACTGATGGCAGCGCCTTCGCAGGACTAACCTAATCAAGTGAGGACGATGTGTGTGTTTTCATCATACTGACAATGAGTCAGCCAGCGAGCAGCATTTCGTGAACAGTGGTTTTAAGAGTGTTGCAGAGAAATCACTTCTTTGAAAGTCTTCGATTGTGAAACGGGGAAAGACGGGGAGAGCACGTTTTACGTCTACATGAGAAACTATCCATCACGTACACACAATGTTGCACCATCAATGGAAGTAAAAGGCAGTTTCCAGTCCTCCAGAAGGACCAGGAAGCTAGTTTTGCATTTAAGGACTAGGGCTTTGATTTACTTCAGTGGTTAAAAGATTTAGTTCAGGGGTAGAACTAGAGCTTTGTGGGGGGGGGGGGGGGGGGGGGGGGGGCCTCTGTGCTCCTAATCTGTGCTGCCAGTTTGTGACCTGGGACACAAGAAACCAGGTCATTTCTCACCACTAACAACTAACTCATTGGTGTAGACTGCTTCAGTGTTATTACTGCTGTCGTGTCTACTTCTGTGCATGCGTGTCCCAGACTCCCCCACATGGATAGTCATGTATTAAATGCAGAGAATCTATTT